AGTCTGAATTTTTGCACTAAAGGTTCAGGAAAATTATTTGTATGAAAAAGTAAGAGATGCAATCTTACAACAAAGGGAGAGAGGCTCAAACTTGGTAGATAGAGGTTTAACTATATTTGCAATACCTTTTTAGATCTTGTCTAGAAGAGAAAGAACATTATTAGAAGAAACAGCCCAAATATGACAACAGTAATCAATACAGGGGCGAATAAGAGATTTGTAGAGATAGAGAATAGAATAAGGAGTAAGAAAATGGCCGGACAAAAATGAGAAGCAATCTTAGCATATTTTAACTTAGCAATTAATTTTATATATGGTTTCCATGGTCAGTGGTCAGTGTAAAGAAGAGGACTCAGAGAGAGGGTTGCGACTCATCAATGTAGAAATGTTGACAGTATTGCGATAGTTGTTTGCAGTAAATAACTGAGTTTTGATGGAGCTAAAATTCACAAACCACTCCAAGCCCCAATCTGTTAAAAGTTAAATCATCAGCAATAAGGCCACTCTAGCAGTTACACTCTAGTAAGTTTGACAGGACGATAATTCATGTAGATAAGAAACAAAACAGGACCAAGGAAAGAACCTTGAGGTACACCAGAAGTTACTGGAAGTAAAGAACAGGGTTGGCCTTTAAGGATTACTTCAGCATCAAACAACATCTTTTTACATTGATTTCATGCAATAATAATGATAGATACTCTCAAGAGAATTATTCTTTTGAAAAAGATTGAAAAAATTGACTAAGACTAGATATAATAACAAAAAGGTAAAAAACCATTAAGTAGAATGAGGCTTGAATGAGAATCAACGAGAATGAATAGTAGCTTTCATTCCTGGTTGGATCCAGGAGGTTGCCTTAGATTATATAGGAATATATGAATATATGTATTTTTAGGATGGTTGAATACCATACAAGCATTTTCAACTAATGATGAAAAAGCTTGTATGGTATTCAATAAGCCTAAAAAATTTTGTTACTAAATGTTCAAATAATGCTTTCAACTCATTCAATGGAGCACTAGCTGGTACAGGACAGACAAGCTACTACTGTACATAACCTGAAACTGTAAAGGCAACAAGTTGTTACAACTTTTTTTATTTGGTTGCTAGAAATTACTTTAAATTTAACTATTCTGTCACTTAACATGCTTTTTAAAAGTTTAATACCAACATCAATGGCATCTTCTTCAACAGTTAATCCTTTTTCTTAGCTGTGCATTAAAACTGTGTTCTTACAAAACTTCTAATTCATTTCTGATTTCTGATCTGTGTTCTGATAAAACACAGAACTCTTGGAGTAAATCAAAATGTCAATTAAATGAATTTTTTCTCAAGAATAAGCCTTCCCAGGAAAGGTGTGCGGTTTTTTATCTTGAACGACCACAAAAACGTTTTTCAAGTTAGAGAACATGATCACGGCTGTTTGCGCAAGTTATATTATTGCATTACTGAAAAAGTTTTAAATTTAATAACTACATAAGAAATTAAAGTAAATTTAAATAGAAAACAATACTAATAGTTTAAATAATTTGTGTGTTGTTTTTATTTCTGTTTTTTCTTAGTGGTTATTATTATTGGCAACAAAATTCATTAAGTCAAACAAAACAAAAAAAAAACGGTTTTAGGCGTTAAAAAGGATGACTTTCCCATATTTTATGTGTTTTTTCTTTTAAAGAGGAAAGAGAAAATATGTATCGTCATCTGTTTGTAAAATGTATTTGTATAATTATAATATAACAACTTTATATCAAGAGTTAAATTATACGATCGTGATTTGCAAACTTTCAGGAACTTTCACATATCACTTAAACAACATTATAAAAAAGTACTTTATAAAAAATATAGCATTATGAAAAACGTTACATAAAAAGGCGCGTTAATTTTAAAATCAACCAATAAAATTTTTTATTGCTTAATTTTAAAATTAACAGGCGTTTTTACAGTCCATTAGTAACGTTTTTCATAATGCTAAACTTTTAATACGATATGTTTTTATAAAGTTATTTGTCACGTTTTTTAAGTTACTTTAGTTTTAATATTATTTGAACATCCACTTTATTTTTCTAGATATTTTTCTACTTCAATTAATATTTGGGAATACTAATGTTGCTTGAACAAAGAATGAATTTTAAAAGTTATAAGTGCGTTATAAAAGTAATAACACTATTATAGTATTATTACTTTTGTAATGCAGTTAGTGACTAGAGTGTTATTACTTTTGTAATCGTAAGTTTATTGTTTTATTTTTTCGCTAACAAATTTAAGTTGATTCTCCCCTTAAAAACAAGGAACACGGTTTTGTATAAACTAAAATTTTGAATACTAGATATTTTTCCAGGTTTTGCGTTTTGCATTCGCTTAATTCAACCCTTGTTGTTACATTAAAATTATACAAATAAATTTTACAAACACATTGCAATTTGTATTTTTGCTATCCTCTTAAAAAAAAATTAAGAAAAGGAAAATCATTCTTTTTATTGTAGGCTTCAAACTCTTTTTTTTTGCTTCGCTTTATCTAATTTTGTTGCTGAATGTAACTCTAAAGAAACAAAAATAAAAACAGTACACAAATTATTTAAATTATTAATTTTTTTTTATTTTTTTTTTATTTCAATATCTTTTAATTTTGTTAGTTTTTTTTTTGTTTTGTTTTTGAAACTTTTTCAGCATAATTATAAAACTTGCAAACGGCCGTGTTCACGTTTTCTAAAATAATATAATCGTGTGTGGTCATACGAGACGAAAAACCGCACGCCTTTCCTGGGAAGGCTTGCAAAAAAGTTTTTTTTTTAAATTTATTCTTTTACAATGAAAATTATCAAAAATTTTATATACATTCTAAAATAAACAAACTATATATATATGTGAGCAAAAAAAACCTAACACATAAAAGTTAAATATTACAAACTTTCACAAAATAACAAAATTTAAAACAGTAGTTTAAAGTAACAATACTTAAAGTATTCAGAAACAGTATTTTAAAAAATTATTAAAAAAAAACTTGGGAAACTCACAGAAGACCATTTATTTTATCGTTTTATCATCAAGAACCGCTCTATAGCATCAGGCTTGGTCGGGAAGCGGGTGTGTTTGCGCTCCATAACTGACCACAGAAACAATATTTAGTTGCGAAAAATCGGCCAGATTTTTTAGTCATTTTGAGAACATTTAAGTTTATGTATGTTTCCTTGTTTGTCCGCAAAATAATAAGTTTATTTTATTGTATATTTCAAAATATTTTGTTTTACGGACATACAATGAAACATACATAAACTTGAATGTTCTCAACATCTTAGTGCAGAAAAATAAAAAAAGAATATTCGCAAACACAAAAAACCCGCCAAATCTACAAACAAATAATTTTATTGGTTTAAAAAATACTAACCGAAATTTCTAGAGTATTCAAAAAATACTAACCAAATGCCCTGAGTATTCTGTTGATATATTTTAAAAACTTGTATTATTTGAATTTTGTTACGTTTTTGTTGAGATTTCTAGCATGAATTATTTTAAGAATATACTATCAAACGAACTATAATTTTAATTCTTAGAGCCACATATACAAAGCTATAAATGTTTTAAATTAACATTATTTGTTTGCAATAATAAATGTTTTAAAAAGATATTTTTTTTCATTGCCAACGTTTTGTAAATATATTATAGATTTTTTATTAGTATATTTTTATTTTTTATATATAAGGGATGTATTTTTTATGTATGTAATGTCTTTTTATCTTTGTAATTTAATGTATGTGTATTTTATTCAAATGTAATCTTTTAAAGCAAATTGTGCGATTGATTTTGTAAACAAAAATACTTTCAATAATAACTGTGTTTTCAATGAAATTATTAATAATTGTCATAGTTAATACAAATAATTTTAACCACTAATCCATTTTCCTCAATGTACCCGATAACTGATTCTTTCCCCCAAGAAAGAAAAGTTTTTAAGTTCTTAAAAATTGGTCTACTAACTTCAATTATTTTTGCTTCAGCCATTCTTACAAACTCGTTATACTTAAAGTTACTTTTTCTGTTTTAAATACTAATTAAAATTATAAAGCCCACTCACTAAACATCATCAGCGGTATTGTGAAGGAGTTTCGCTTCCTCCTCATAAAGTAATTTAACATTTTTAGTTGATTTCTATCTAGCCAATTGAATTTCTACAGTAACACAATGATTTAATTATTTCATTTGTTCATCTTACTAAGAAGAATTGTTCAAATGTGTTAAACTTTTTAAACTACGCGAAGCATATAACAGTTATTGAAAAAACTTTTTTATTTATAAATAAATCATCTAGCATTAGTTTTATTGGTTAAATCTTGATGGACTTTTCAGGGCCAGGGGCTGCATTATTTTGGCGGCCTTTTTTATGTGCCACAGCGTAAAAAAAATACAGAATTGTCCTCTTGACTATTTCCCCTAACATTGTGAGTCCCGGGACAATAGTCCTACTACCCCCACCCTACCTCCTCAATCCGCAACTAGAAATAAGATATAAGTATATAAATAAAAATTATATATACCTTTTGATAAATCGAAGAGCATTTGCTTCTTTATAGTTGTTACTTTATATAAAAAATGTCGCTTAATTTTATAAAAAAAATTATAAAAGAGTGAAGTTTCAAAAATAATTGCTCTAATAAATTTATTTTACTTAAAGTTTTTTCGCGTAAAAAGCTATTTTTCTTTTTTTAATTGTCTCTCATCGGTCAAGTTAATCTTACTGCGCTTTTTTGTTTGTTTTTGAAATGTTATCAAAACGACTATAAAATCTGGCCAGTTTTTCGCAACTAAATATTATTTCCGTGGTCAATTATCGAGTGCGATCGCACCCGCTTCCCGACCAAGCCTGTAGCATTCATGTTTTTACAATAGTTTTTAGTCAAAATCAGTGTAATTTTATAATTTAGCAGCCACGGCTGCTAAATTATACAATCAGTATACATATACAATTGACTACAATCATAAATAAAACAAAGAAAATGTTTTACCTGTAGTTTTTAAATTTAGTTTAGACTCAACAGTTTCAGGTATGATAACAGGCTTGTTAGGTAGTGGAGGAACCTATGCAGAGATAAAAAGTTGTTATTTTGTTATATTTATGTATATATGTGTATATATATGTATATATATATATATATATATATATATATATATATATATATATATATATATATATATATATATATATATATATATAAGGTTTCAAAAAGATTTTTTAAGTTTTGCTGAAATTATATATATATATATATATATATATATATATATATATATATATATATATATATATATATATATATATATATATATATATATATATATATATATATATATATATATATATATATATATATATATATATATATAAATATATATATATATATATATATATATATATATATATATATATATATATATATATATATATATATATATATATATATATATATATATATATATATATATATATATATATATATATATATATATATATATATATATATATATATATATATATATATATATATATATATATATATATATATATATATATATATATATATATATATATATATATATATATATATATATATATATATATATATATATATATATATATATATATATATATATATATATTATATATATATATATATATATATATATATATATATATATATATATATATATATATATATATATATATATATATATATATATATATATATATATATATATATATATATATATATATATATATATATATATATATATATATATATATATATATATATATATATATATATATATATATATATATATATATAATATATATATATATATATATATATATATATATATATATAAATATATATATATATATATATATATATATATATATATATATATATATATATATATATATATATATATATATATATATATATATATATATATATATATATATATATATATATATATATATATATATATATATATATATATATATATATATATATATATATATATATATATATATATATATATATATATATATATATATATATATATATATATATATATATATATATATATATATATAATTTCAGCAAAACTTAAAAAATCTTTTTGAAACTTTTAAAGTGTTTTCACAACAAACTAACATTACTTCACCCTAATGAAAATTAAAAAAAAAAAAAAAAAACAATCATGCAAAATTTTATTTAAAATGAATGCATTTGCTTTAAACTTTTCATGTAATTGCTTATTACTTAAAAAAAAAAACAATTCGAAAACATTATGATTGTTTACTTTAACAAAAGAAAGAAACTATAATGTTAAGCATGGTTTCTTTTGAAGTAATTGCAAAAGCATTCAGTTTAAGTAAAATTTTGCATACTTTCGTAAACGCATGCAAAAACCATGCTACAACAAAATTATTATCTTCAATAGCGTACTTAAAAGTAACGCTATTGAAGAAAGTAATCATGTTTTGGCATGGTTTTTTAAAAACCATGCTGAAACATGATTACTTTCTGTCCCTGAAATTAATTAATAAAACATGATTACTTTCTGTCTCTGAAATTAATTTTTTATTTATTTTAAATATGTGTTTTTTATAAGATATAAAAAACTATTGCAAAATTATTTGGAACAAAAATTGCTGAAGTAATACATTTTTAACAAAAGTGAGCAGGTTCGTCAATTTGTTGCACTCTGCATCCTATTAACTTTTTTATAAAATTTAAAATTTGCACCACAAAATTTTATTAAAATTTATGGCACTTTTTAACAGCCTAATTTAATTACATTTTTAAACATCATGCTGTGTTAAATATATCAATTTCTAAAAAAATAAATAAACAATCTGAAGGGAGGGGGTGCAAATGCCCTCATAGCCTTCCCCTCACTATGGATTCACCCTTGTATTAGCCTATTAATTCATGGGAGGGAATGATAAAGATTATTAGAGCTGTGCTAAATTTTTTTTTAACTATCAAGTATACATTAAATAATAAATGTTTTATTTTTTCTATTTATTTTGTCATTATTTAAGTTTGTTTTTTGTTTATTTAATTGTTTATGTCATTATTTAAGTTAAATTTTTGCATTTTTTTAGATTTTGTTCTCTTTTCAGTTTATGGATTGTTTATTATAATTAAAGTTTGTTTTGTTTTTTTAGGGTATTTTTTAAATGTGCTAATTATCAAAACTTGCAAAGACCTATGGCTAATTTATCAAAACAAAGTATTATACGCACAGTCATGTAAGACGTGTGACCGCATACCTCTTACGCAAAGACCTGTATATAAAATTAAGGATTTTAAGGAGATTTAAGGAGATATTTTCTTAATATTTAAGGAGATTTGATCGCGAACAACATTTTTTTTAAAGAAAAAGTAAAGATAGTTAAGGAAAAAACGATTACATTAAAAACATCTTACTTTTTTCAATAAATTTTCCGGCCTTGTTTCAAAGCGTTACGCCTAGAGCGATTTACGTACGCCTTAAGCGATTTTTACGTACGCGTAGAGCTGTTTTGGTTAAGCTACTTTTTATCATTTTTTAACTTTTAAATTAGCGGTAACATAAAAGAAGTAATTAATTTAAAAAAAAACCACATTAACTTTTAAATAACGTTATGTAAAGGTATTTATTAAAAAAAAGAATTTACTTTAAAAATAATTATTGTAACTTTTCATTGCGATATATCTTTCCTTTTTATAGCAATTAATTTGACGCTAAACTTTTTATCCAAATATTTAGCAACATAAAAAATTGTTTGTCAATCCTTAACTACAAATTTTTTGCAATGTTTTTAATAAAAAGTAGTAATTTTTTAAAGTTTTTGGTAAAAAACTTTTAAAAAATCTATATTCCATATTTATTAATACAGAATATAAAAGTTTTTTGTAATAAAGATTTTTTATGAATTTTTTACTGAATTTATAATAAAAAACGTTTGCAAAAAATTTTGTAATTAAGATTTGACATTTTTTTTTAATAAAATCTCAAAAAATGTCTTAATATTTTTGTTATCATGATAACAAAAATATCAAGACATTTTTTCGAGATGTTAAAAAAAATGTTTTTGCTTTTCTTATTAGTTTAATAGTATATAGCTTATAGTTAGTTTAATAGTATATAGCTTTTCTTATTAGTTTATTAGTATATAATTTAAGTTATGCGGGGGAGGGGGGAGGCACAGAAAAAAAAAATTACCTGTTACTCGCAATATTTGAATGAAGACAATTTGTTAAAATTCTTCTGCGTGCGATTCAATAAGTTTTTTTTTTCATAAATCAAGTTATAATATAAGGTAAAGAAATCATGAGTAGACTACAACATCCGCTGATGACACTAATATTACGTTGAATATATTTATATAACGGAGGTTTTATTATGCACGCGCACATTACAGGTTCCGTTAAATAAATACTAAGGCACGTTTTAGTTTAATGACAGTCTCCATTTTTTACTAATGAATATGTATTTTTCTTTATAAAACAAAACAAACTAGTATATAAAAACGTTGTATATTTCTATTATCTCTAAATTGTTTAAAGTTCGAATATGGATTGTATTTTGAAGGACAAAAGATTTACTTTAAAAACTTTTAAATCTTGGGACTTTGCCGATGCTTTGCCGATGCGATGATCACAGAAAAAGAGAAGACTTACGTTATTAAAATCAAATGTAAGTTATGTGATCTTCATCAAAATAAAATATTATCCAAAAACAATAGTGCTGTAAGGGCAACTGCCCAACGGTTTATAAATAATACGAGTCATGTTAAAATATTTTAACATGTTACTATATTTTAATTAAGTTGATATATAATTAAAAATAAAAATATAGTTCAATAAATAAATTAAATTTATTCTTAACAAAGATTACCTCATATTTTTTTTTTTATTATTTTATTAAGTTAAATTGCTCACAAACGAAAAAAAAAAGAGTTTTGTAATTATACGTAGAATGAAAATACTTTTGAGTTTGTTTATAAGTTAAGGAACTTAATTTTTAATAAACAAATTTTACGAACGTTTATTATAAACAGATACGATTCAAATTATTAAATATACTTAAATTATTTCAGTTGAGTATTTTTTTAAGTTTGCACGATTAAAGTTTGGCGTAGAAGTATTTGTTTTTTTGTTTTAAGAATAATTAACAAAAGAGTTTGCATAGTTAAGACTTTTATATTTAATTTTATTTTTTTTTTAATTTCCTAAAATTAAAAAAAAATAAATGATTTAATCGTTGAAAACGATTTTTCTCTATAGCTCTGTTTCTTTGTGATTTGTTTAAAAAGTTAAATATTTTTACAATAACATAAAAAATTTATGAATTAAATTCCTAGCGAACGCGTTCTTAACTACGTATCAAAAATATGCACAAAGCAGACAAAACTTTTTATATTTTTATAAAACGCAAGTTTGAAACGCTTTTAAAAATTTTAAAAATATTTAAAAACTTAAATTTTTCTTTGCTAGTCAAAACAAAATCGTTGTTTAAATAAGTAACATGGGTTTGCGTTTATCAATGTTAATATTTTTTGTTTACTCTAGAAATTTTTAAAAATAAAAAAAATCATTATTATTTTTTATTCAATAACAATTAAAAACAATTATTCAAAAACAAATTTCAGAAATAATATATATATATATATATATATATATATATATATATATATATATATATATATATATATATATATATATATATATATATATATATATTACTAAATAATATTGAACTAAAATTAATAATAAAATAACAATTGAAAACATTACAAAATTTTCATAATAAATTTATATTTAAAACGTTTATAGTTTATATTTGAGTTAATTGTTAAATTGAACTAGTTTGCGGTTATTCATTTATTGAGGTAATTAAAACACTTAACGTCTATAAAAAAAAATAAAGATAACCTTATGACGTCAAATATCGCGTTAAGCTAATGCGTTGAGCACTTTTTTATTTAAAACAAGGCCTGAATTTTAAATATAAATAGAGAAGTTATTATTACTTTATATATATTTATATAAATATTAATATAC